ATAGATAGATAGATAGATAGATAGATAGATAGATAGATAGATAGATAGATAGATAGATAGATAGATAGATAGATGACATAGGTAGGTAGGTAGTAGGTGGGTGGGTGGATGGATGGATGGATGATATAGATAGGCAGGTAGACAGACAGACAGACAGACAGATAGATATAATGTGCTAAAAGAATTCAAGATCTCTTCCTTCTCATTTTCTTTTGGATTTTCACAGTATTTCCCTCAATAAAAGTTGGTTAAATTCTTTGTGATTGCAGCCAGAAGACGGAACTGCAGCTAAAGAGCTAACGCCGGGAGGCCATTCAACCACCCTGCCAGATGGGAAAGATGCAATGTCCATCTTCAGCTCTGCACCTAAGACAGGTATGCCGTAGGTCAGTGTTTCCCAAACTTGGCAACTTTAAGACTTGTGGACTGACTGGACTCCAGCCAGAAGAGCTGGCTGGAGAATTCTGGGAGTTGAAGTCCACAAGTCTTAAAGTTGCCAAGTTTGGGAAACACTGCCGTAGGTGAATTGTCAACAGCCCTCCCGAGTCATCCACCCTTTCGCGATAAGCAAAAAAGAAGAAAAAGGTGGGATGGTGATAGTGTGCAGTTTTTGAATATTTTTCCCTGGGCATTACTTTTTGTTGAGTCTCTAATTAGGCATTTTTAGGGACAAATTTGGGGGACGTGGGGAAATGTCTGTCATGCTTTCTCACTTCTTGATGTTTTTTTCCCCCCTTCTTCTCCTCCTCCTCCCAGATACGCGGCAAGATAATTCGGCTGGCCGAGCTGGTTCTGGTAGCTTAACACAAGTTACTGACTTGGCCCCTTCTCTTCATGATTTGGATAATCTATTTGATAATTCAGATGAAGATGACCCTGGTGTAAGTTTGTGATGAACTGAGGTTGATTCTTGGGACAAGGGTCCCCGGCCCCCTAGAATCGGGAACGACTAGCATGTATGTACGAGGGGAAACTTTACCTTTTTAATATATGTGTATGTTTCAATTGCAAACCTAGGCTGTCTCCCCTCCCCTCCGATCATCAAAATTGCCACCGGTGGGAACTGAAGAGCGACATCTAAGCAAGGATGCAAGGACAGCTGTTCCTTATCCTCCGAGTAAGTAATTCCAGCATTATTCCAGGTAAAGTATGTCCTCTCCCAGCCTGAAACCAAACAGATTTCCTCCTTTTTTAAATTCAAAACTTGTTTGTGAAATATTCCCTTGTAAAAGGACACGGATGGGTCTATGATGGAGAATCTTTTTTGGCTTGTGTGCCAAAAATGGGGGGGAGTGTATGGGGGGGGTTGTACATGGGCGTGCCACACCCATAATGCTTTGTACATGACCCCAGGGTGCATGCATGCGTGACCAGTGCTTCCCCCCCCCCCCCCATTTGTGCTTTTTTTGCCTTCCCCAGGCTTCAGAGGCTTTATAGGAGCCTGGGGAGGGCGAAAACAGTTTCCCCCGCCCCCTCCGGAGGCTTCAGGAGCCTCCCTGAAGTCTCCGGAGCGCAAAAAACCAGCCCTATGGGCAAACCGGAAATTCGGGAACGGACTTCCGGTTTGTCTGTAGGGCCATTTTTCATCCTCCAGAGCCTTCAGGGGCCTTCCACTCGTAGGGTCGTTTTTTGCCCTCCGGAGCCTTCAGGGAAGACTTCTGAATGATCCGGAGGGCTAAAATTGGCCCTACGATCAACCCGGAAGTATGTTCCTGAACTTCCGGTTTGCCCATAGGGCCATTTTTTCGCGCTCCGGAGGCTTCAGGGAAGCTCCTGAAGCCTCCAGAGGGTGAAAAATGGCCTTAAAAAAAAAAAAGACCGAACTCAGCTGGCCAGCGTGTGCATGCGTGCTGGCCAACTGACAAGGCAATGCCCAGACAAATGGCTCCACATGCCACATGTGGCACGCGTGCCATCACAGGTCTAGGGGAAGAATTAATGTGGATTGACAACTGAGGTGATCCATTTTTGCTTAAACAGATGCTACACTCTATGGATCACTAGTATAATGAAACCAAGCCACGTTATTTCAGTCATTGATCAGATCCTGTATTTATAGATTGATTGATATAAAGAAACCTACCTCTTAAGGTCCTGAAGCAAAGGGATAATCACACACAATTAAGGGAAGTTAAAGAAGGTGCTTGATCCCAATTTGGGGGGAGGGGAGACGACACAAAATTATTATTATTATTTTTAAATCCTACAATGTGGCCATAATAAAAGCTAGATCTTGACAAGGGCAGCATCTTTTTAATACCAGCATTCACAAAAGGCCATTGGCTTGTCAGCTGATCGGGAGAGCATTATTACCACAGATAATAGCATTCAGGCCAGAGGGAAATAAATGCTTTTGTTTTAATTTGAGAACGTATTCATTTAAAAAGCTGTCACTTTAAAAGTGGTGGGGTGAAATTGATTGAGGCCAATAGGAGCCAATGCTTTCTAACACAGGCTGCAATTTGTATCTTCATTAAATCTATCAAGATGGAGGGATTAAACCCATCAATTTTCCATCTGCTGCTCCTTAGCGTTCCATCAAGAATTGAAGTCGAGCTGAACGATGCCTGCGGGAGGCATTTAAAATCCCCCTTACAGAATAACAGGGTTGGAAGGGACCTTGGAGGTCTTCTAGTCCAACCCCCTGCTTGAGCAGGAGAAGTCTATAAGGTTCCAGACAAATGGCTGTCCAGTCTCTTTTGGGAAACCTTAAGTGATGGAGCACCCTTAATTTCTGCTGTTCTGTCAAGAAATTTCCCCTGTTGGAATACAGAACATAAAATCGGAGGAAGAGACCTTGGAGGTCTTCTAGTCCAACCCTCTGCTCGAGCAAGAGGTCCTATACGGTTACAGACAAACGACCCTCGAGTCTGTCCTCCAGTGATGGAGCACCCAGAACATCGAGAGGCAAGCCCTTCCACTGATTGTTCTCACTGATAGGAAAATTCTCAATGTTAGGTTGGATCGCTTTTTGATAAGCTTCCATCCCTTGCTTCTTGTTCTGCCCTCGGGTGCTTTGGAGAATAGAAAGTGGAACGAACTCCCCATGGAGATTCGAACCCTCACCACCCTCCAGGCCTTCCGCAAAGCCCTTAAGACCTGGCTGTTCCGACAGGCCTGGGGCTANTTCTTTCTTTCTTTCTTTCTTTCTTTCTTTCTTTCTTTCTTTCTTTCTTTCTTTCTTTCTTTCTTTCTTTCTTTCTTTCTTTCTTTCTTTCTTTCATCCCCAGGCACAAACTCCTGAAGCAGCGCTGTGCTGTCGGCTCCAGTCGTCCGCCCACGATATCCCAGCCGGGGTTCGGAGGGGGCACCTCGTCCTCTTCCACCTTGCCCCCTCCTGCCTCTAAGCACAAAACCACCGAGAGGCAAGAGAAGTCGGAGAAAGTCCAGAAGAGGTCGTTGCTGCCATTTCACCACCGTCCCTCGGTCACCGAAGACCTGTGCATGGAGCAGGATCCTTCGGGACAGAAGCTGCCCTTGACGGGGGTGGAACCTTCCTTAGAAGCTGCAAGCAATAGGAAGTACGAGAAGCAGCTCTCCCTGCCTGCCCGACACCCCAGCAAGCCAGCCAATTCGAATCCTATGGATTCCCCCCGCTCCCCCATATCTCCTCTGCCTCCCACCCTCAGCCCCCAGCCCAGGGGGCAGGAAGCCGACGCTTTGGACCCGTCGTCTGATCCTGGCAACCCAACCCTCTACAGCAATGGATTGGAACTTCAGCCGCTGGGCAGCGCCGAGGATCGGACAGTCCTGGTGGGCCAAAGGTTGCCCCTGATGGCCGAAGTCAGCGAGACGGCTTTGTACTGCGGGATCGTGCACCGCCGGGAGTCGTCCAACAGATGGCAGGCGTACTCTCTTCCTCTCCCCAGCGATCTGGAATTCAGGCCTCCGGAGCTCCAGTGTGAGATCCACGACCTCAGGATGGAGGTGGCGTCGGAGAACAGTCCCCTGAAAAGGTAAGGCCAAGTCTTGCTTTCTTTCGGTGCGTCGGGGTGGGATGGGATGACTTGCCACAGCTGGTTCGCTGCGGCCAACGCGCCGCGGCCAGCTTGCTGTGGCACAACTCACCACAGCTAACTCACTGGAGGACAACCCACAATTGCAGGACAATTCAGCAATTCATTTGAGTTATTCAAAATCCCTTTCTTCAATAGCGATAGCGTAAGTCTTATACCGCTTCACGGCACTTCACAGCCCTCTCTAAGCAGTTTTACAGAGTCGGCAAATCACACCCCCCCCCCCCCCCAATCTGGGCCCTCATTTTACCAACCTCGAAAGGAGGGGAGGCTGAGTCAACCTTGAGCCGGTCAGGATCGAACTGGAAGTTGGCAGAGTCAGTCTGCAATACTGCATTCTAACTACTGCACAGGAAGAAAGGGAAGGGAGGGAGGGAGGAGGGAGGGAGGGAGGAAAGGAGAGAGGAGGCAGGGAGGGAGAAAGGAAGGAAGAAGGGAAGGAAGGGAGAAAGGGAAGAAGTAAGGAAGGAAGGGGAAAAAGAAGAGCAAAACAATGGCAATATCACTTAAGAAAAGTTAAGTTATACCACTTCACAGTGCTTTTACAGCCCTCCCTCAGCGGTTTAGAGAGTCAGCTTATTGCCCCCAACAATCTGGGCCCTCATTTTACCGACCTTGGAGGGACGGAAGGCTGGATCAACCTTGAGCCTGGTGAGATTTGATCTACCAAATTGAAGACAGACGGCAATACTGCCCTCTAACCGCTATGCCACCGAGGTTTAATGATTCTCTTCCACCATTTCTTTGATATCAGTATTACTCTTGTCCCACAGCGAATTGTCTTGCGTCGAGTTGGCTGCGGCAAGTTGGCCCGTGGCGAAATTGGTCATTGACAATTACGGGAAGCCTAATTTTCAAGCCATTGATGTCAATAGCCATGGCCATGTGGAAAGGCAACACTGCAGGGGTGCTCATCTCCAGATGCCTGCGGTTCTCCATCATAAATGGGAACAATTCTTTAAGGAGGTCATGTGACCCAATCCCTGTGATCCCAGAAAGATCTGTCTCCCGTGAGGTTATTTTAAGATGACCTGTCAGAATACCAAATGAGGTTGCTGTTAGTTGTGGTCATGTCCGACCCATCATGACCCCATGGACCACGTTCCTCCAAGCCTACCTGTCCTCTACCATCCCCATGAGTCTATTTAGGCTCACGCCGACTGCTTCAGTGACTCCATCCAGCCACCTCCTTCTCTGCCGTCTTCTTCTACTTCTTTTACCCTCAACCTTTCCCCGCATGAGGCTCTTCTCCAGGGAGTCCTTCCTTCTCATTAGGTGGCCAAAGTCTTTGAGTTTCCTCTTCAGGATCTGGCCTTCTAAAGAGCAGACAGGGTTGATCTCCTCTAGGATTGACCGCTTGGATGGCCTTGCAGTCCATCTGTATCTATCTATCTATCTGTCTGTCTGTCTGTCTGTCTATCATCTATCTATCATCTGTCTGTCTGTCTGTCTGTCTGTCTGTCTGTCTCTATCTATCTATCTATCTATCTATCTATCTATCTATCTGTCTATCATCTATCTATCATCTGTCTGTCTGTCTGTCTGTATCTATCTATCTATCTATCATCTATCTATCATCTGTCTGTCTGTCTGTCTGTCTGTCTGTCTGTCTGTCTATCTATCTATCTATCTATCTATCTATCTATCTATCTATCTATCTATCTATCTATCTGATCTTTTCTATGTTGTTGTTCTTACTTGCAAAGTCGTGTCTGACCCATTGCGACCCCATGGACAACGTTCCTCCAGGCCTTCCTATCCTCTACCATCCTCTGGAGTCCATTCAAGCTCAGGCGAACTGCTTCGGTGGATCGCCTTGCAGTCCAAGGGACTCGCAGGAGTCTTCTCCAGCACCAGAGTTCAAAGACCTCCATTCTTTGGTACTCAACCTTTCTTATGGTCCAACTTTCACAGCCATCCATTTCAACCGGGAAAACCATAGCCTTGACTAGATGCACTTTTGTTGGCAGGGTGATGTCTCTGCTTTTTAGTGTGCAGACTAGATTTGCCATCACTTTCCTCCCCAGGAGCAAACGTCTTTTGATTTCTTGGCTGTAGTCCCCATCTGCGGTCATCTTGGAGCCCAGGAAAATAAAATCTGTCCCAACCTCCATTTCTTCCCCATCTGATTACCGAATGATACCAACAAATGTTTAAAGCAGTAACGTTGGAAAACGGTGTTGTTGGTTTTTTTCCTCAAGTTGGACTAAGAGACTCCTGCTAGCTTTGAGAAGTCTCAGTCCTCTGCGTTTCTTCAGAAATCATAATGATAAAACAGGCTGACACGCGAATATATCAGGTGCTTCCCCCGTTCATTTTTCCCTTTGTGGTGAGCTAGAACTTGCTAAATATCGCATCACGTAATTATATTATTACAGTTTACCGGGGAAGGGGGGAAAAAAGAAAAGAAAAGGAAAGCCACAGGGCAGATTTTATACAGCACATTATCCATAATAATAACCAGCTAAGGCCTAAAATATTGATGTCAGGCTTCAAGAATACTGCAAATTAGAGCCAGAAATGTGTATCCTCAAATTATCTCAAGAATAACAGCACAGTTCTCCTGCAGTTATTCAGATATTTCTACGGAAAGGTACAGGGAAGGATTCGTTTTGAGTGCCACGCAGAGGAAAGCCCTGTGGTTGCGAGATCACGAGAAAGCCATAAACCTGGGATTAAACACGATTATGTAGATTCTCAAGAAAAAAATGGTCACTTCAATTGGATGTCCTGGAGGAATAGGAGATTGAAACGAGTAATATATCAGTAGCTTTAAAAGTTACGCAGTGGCTCAGTGCCTAAGATGCTGAACTTGTCGATCAGAAAGGTTGCCGGTTCGGCGGTTCGAATTCCTAGCGCCACGTAACGGAGTGAGCTCCCGTGACATGTCCCGACTTCTGCCAACCTAGCAGTTCGAAAGCAGGTAAAAAAATGCAAGTAGAAAAAATAGGAACCACCTTTGGTGGGAAGGGAACAGCGTTCCGTGCGCCTTCAGTGTTGAGCCATGCTGGCCACATGACCACGGAGATGTCTTCGGACAGCGCTGGCTCTTCGGCTTTGAAATGGAGAGAGCACCGCCCCCTAGAGTCGGGAACGACTAGCATATATGTGCAAGGTGAACCTTTACCTTTAGCTGTAAAAGTTACATTCTGGGAATCCCCCTTTTCTGTTTTAAGTTGAGAAGACTTCATTAGCTTAGCAGAGAGGGAAGAACTGGATTTAATCATTGAAGAAAAGCAATGAGGTAAGATACAGTATGTGCATTTCTTTTTCCTCCTTTCCATCTACTGTAGGTTCTTAGCACAGCCTAACAAGAGGTTTAAAATCGTGGAGGAGACCCTACCTGTTCCAGCAGTGAATTACCT